CGTTGTATCTTGTAGGCAAATTCTGTGTCACAATCTCCTTTAAAGGGTTTGTGTGTAGAATTTAGTGACATCTAGTGGTGAAGTTACCGCTGAACACCCCTCACCTCACCCTCCCTGTCCAAACATGAAAGAGAACCTGTGGTAGACTTCAGCTRTAATAAAAAATCATAAGGTGTTTGGCTTGTCCTGTCTGTACGACTGTAAAAAACATGGTGGCCTCCGTAGAGAAGACAATTCATATAATTTAGATGAAAAACAGTAGGGTTCTTCAATTCAGTTTCGGCCAATTGATCCTTTCACCTAAATCTTACACACTGGACGTTTAACACATAAATTGTTTTAGTATAAACTGAGCTCTTTGCCTCTTCTTATTTCCTGAACTCAACTCAACCATTTCTGAGCTTGTGTATTGAGCTTCAGTCTTTGTTTCATTGCCCTTGTCTGTGCTGCTGTTCAGGCGACCCAACGGTCTGCGATCAGAACTCTGCTTCAGTCTCCCTGGTTGGTTGTCTCCTGAAGGAAAAAGGCATTGACTACTCTGAGCTACACCTTAACAACCAGAACTGCAGAGGTCAGATGAACAATGTGACCCAAATGGTGACCTTCAAATTCGACACTAGCAATCCGTGTGGGACGGTGGTCATGGTAAGCGTCTCTCCTCCAATTGATTCGCACTTTCAGTGTTTGTGGTCCATGAGTGGATTAATGTGATCGTCTCTGCAGMTGAAACCTCATGCACTCACACTGTCTGACTCCCTGTGACCCTGCAGGCCAACAATAGCCATATTATGTACAAGAACTCCATCGTGGTACAAAACAGCTCCAGCATCATCACTCGCCAAGACCACGTCAATATCGACTTCTCCTGTTTCTACAACCAGCCGGACATCAGGAGCACAACCTTCAGAATCAAAGACAGGTCAGTGGTTGACCAGCTTCACCTGTGAAGTCAGAACTGTCAGTCACACTTTTAACAAACCGATGTATAATTAATAAAACTGGAGAAAGAAGTGGACAAACACTGCCACAAGTGTGTAGTCTGACCCGTTGACTTGATTCTGGCCATAACATGTTTTCTTTCAAATATCTGATGAAATCTCAGCAGCAGCTTCAGATCTTCAACCATTAGATAAAGCAGAGTTTATCATTAAGACAATAATGATGAACATTGTTTAAATATGGTGAACAGAAGCCAAAACCAGGATTAAAACATCCCTTAAATCCTTAAAACATTCCATGCATATGCACAAAAGACAACTCTGAGTATAAACTCACGTATGTGCTCTTTCCCTGGAATATCCCAGTAATCTATCCCCCTTGTCTGAAATTTTACTTTAGCAGTTTAATAAATACAGCCCCAAAGAAGAGACATACTCCTCTAATGGACTTGTTGATCATTTAATTTGTGTTATTGGAAAGGTTTACATGCTCTAATGTTCAGAAAATACATCGCTTTAGTGTTGATTGCTGCTGCTCCTCTTATCAGCCTCTGTCTGAAACATTTGGTTTTAGCTCCGGTCTCTTTAAGGCCCCCCCTCCCAATAGAGCCCAGTCTGCTTCAATAGGGTAGCTGGCCTTCTCTGCCTCAAGCACTTCAAATACATGGAAGAAATGTTGTCCTCCACTCTTGCTTTGCCTGGCTTTATTAGGGGACGTGCATTAAACAAATGAYTTGACATTATGATGAAGAAGGTTGGAGGAGGAGGAGCTTCAGTGTTTTCTGTTTGGAAGTGGAGCTCCCTTTACCACAGATTTTAGGCTTTTTAACTTTGCAGAAGGTTTATATTCACAAAAAAATAATAAAATACACTAAAGGAAACAAACATGAAAATATTTCTCCTTTAACA